TTCCGACAGCATTTTTGAATGCCATAGTTCAAATCTAGGTTGAGGATGTCTCTCTCCAATTGGGAAATTCAAGACTGAAACCTTAAAATGGCTATCAGTGTGTTAATATCTCAAAGCAATAGAGTTTTTTTTAAACTTCTGATATCGCTTGAATTCCAATGAAATTTTAATGCCCATATTTTTTCAAAAACGAGGAAAATAAAATTTGCTTGAGATTGCTCTGGCAATTGCTGGAGATTACATGGGTGCGTAGGAAATCTCACAGCGCTAAAACCAAAAGTTTGTGGGAACCACCAGACAATCGAAGGTGGCTTGCCTTATTGCTACGCAGGTAGAGGATGCCACGCAGTTTGCAATTCTAACAATGGCTCTCGTTCATATGTTCGATCCATTTGATGATTCACCAACTTTTGAATGTTGAAACAACTGCTTTTTGTTTCAGGATATTGGCAGCACTGTGGATCGCAAATCACCACAATGGTAAGCTGCTTTTTATACTTAGTTTTAGAGTACCTATGTAGGGAGAGTATGGACAACTCATCAAGTATGGTCAATATCCTAGATCGCGAAGTTGTGAGAGTCTGCTCAATGTCCATGTTTTATTCCATTTTTTAATCGACAAAAAATTACCCATAATTGTTAGGAACCATTTTCACTAATTTTTCCTGATGGAAATAATACATAATTCGAATTTTTTCAACATTGCATTGAAGGTCTGGATTTTTTGCCTTCAGCCATTGATATCTGCTAGAAATGTCCCTGTACCAGTAGTAGGCACTTTTCTAAACACTATCTTGAATCTGTCCATCTATTCGGGATTAATCAACAAGGGTGAATCAGTCATATTCTCAATTTAATCTTAAATATCTGAAAATTTCAAGGAAATATATTCATAACTTACATCCAGGATAAATTTTTTATGATGGGAAATATTGTAACTCTCTAATGCTCATTGGGCGTTTTTCTTGAGCACAGCAGAGTACTTAAACACAGCATGATAGTAGCCTAGCAGACCTTGTCTCCGTGTGACGTTCCATGGGATTTGCCCCATGGAAAAATCTCACGAGCAAAGTTAGGAAAAGTATCGAGTTAGTCAATACTATTCACAGTACTGTCAGAATTTTACGTGAAATTTTTCATGAAATTTCAGAAATTTATGAAAGATATTGAAAAATGCCAGCTCATCTTCATGTTTCGGAAAATGTAAAAATAGAGACTTCCATTTTTGTGTGTTCGAGTGCGGGTTGCATACCCTAGCCCTCGTAAAATATGCAATATTTCACAGTCTCGTGAACTTTCAAATCTTTCCATCTTTCTTTTCCTTCATCCTACCCTGATGACAGTACCAAGTTGATTACTTGTCGAGTCCTTAGAGCGACTCAGTGGGAATGAGAGGAAATTTTGTGGCTTTGTTAAAAGGAGGAAAAAGCCCGGAAGTATCATTCCTGCGATTCGAAGTTGTGGCAAATCCCATGAAACGTCCGTGGAGACAAGGCCTTAGATCAGTAGAAATTTGAGTTATTTCTCCTTGAGTTCAGCACAGTGGATCAAGTCGTCAGAGACAGAGGTTGGACATGAAATTCTTGACTACAGCTGCTTTCCGGCGATTGAAGAAAATCCGCGGAAATTCTTTGGAAAAACTGTATTTGCCTTTAGTGACAGGAATGATTAAAAATAAGACATTTATTGAGGTCTGTAACGTTGCTATCGGAGATAAATACGCTTTTTCTCGCGTGCAGGAATGGATATTGAAGGCGCGACACGCTCCAATAATGACTCGGGTCCCGTCCCGTGCGATCTCCCTGGCTGGATCGCCGCTAAAATCCCCGCATAGTTATGACTAGCCGTCATTAACCTTGACTCTCTGTCCCGTTTTTACCACAATTTGAGTGAAAGAGTATACCTAAATTGAAACGATTCAGAATCTCGGATTGGGTTTAATTACATTCATAATTTTAAAATGAAGTATGAAACGAGCGAAAATATTGCGTCAAAATCTCCGGCGATTGAAGAAAATCTGCGGAAATTCTTTGGAAAAACTGTATTTGCCTTTCGTGACAGGAATGATTAAAAATAAGGCATTAATTCAGGTCTGTAACGTTGCAATCGGAGCTAAATACGCTCCCTTACGCATGAGTGAACAGATTGGCCCAGATATTCCGGACCACATTTCACTAAAAACTGCTGTTTGTCAAACCGCCGTCAACACCTACCAAGCGGCGAGTAGGCCTTCGGCCATGCTCGGCAATCTTCGTAGCCAATCAGGTTGCCGCTCGCCGCCCGTAATCTCGAAGAAGGTTCGGCTCCTACACCACCCTAGCCCTACACTTTTCGAATTTTGGATTTTGGCATTCGGCCTGATTCTCTTTTCCGTAATTAATAACAATAAAAAATTCATTTAATCATTACTTAGCGGCACCTTGTCCAATTTGTGCCTAGCGCCTCTACAACTTTGCAAATTTGGACGTTACCTTTTGAAAATTTCATCCCTTCCCTTTGAAATTACTTTGAATAAGTACACTTCACATATCACACGGGACTTTCATCCGCATATTTACTTGGCTTCATTCGCAAAGGATCTTTTAAGAAGTAAATTCTTTCGATAACTTATTGGGGATGGTCAAGTCACCAATTAGAGCCCGTCATTCCATACCATTAATATTACAGGACTAGGTTTCTTACCTATAATTTGATGGGCACCGTGAGAATAATAGATAACCACAGTATTTGATCCGTGCCTTAAAAAATGAACTGCTGGTGGCAGAACCATCTTGGTGATGTTCATTAGGAATTTTAGACTTTCTTCTATTTTTTCAGCAGATGAACCATGGTAACTTGTAAAGTCTTGCCTCATTTTCCTTGAGTTCTACTTTGTTTGATGCCAAAAAACAAGAAAATTCATGGAGAAACGTGCCTTAAAGGTGATAGTTCCCCCTCATACTTACTATCAGAGTTCCAACGGAAAAAATCTTGTTGTCATAGGTAAATACGGTTTCCATTGCTTCTTCAGCTGTTAATAGACAACTATGCGGGTTTGCTGGAGAATTTGGTGACTGCTAGGATTGTTAATTAGTATCTCCGAAGCCTGGTTGTTATAGCTAAACTTAAAGCATTGGCTTCAACGCATCGCAAAACCAGAACCTTGGAGAGACCAGCGAACATCCATGAGAAAGTGAGTGAGGAGCAAGGTACCTAGCATTGTACATCCATCTGGATTTCACAACTACCGTTCCTAGGGATTTAGGATTCAGATTCGCACATCAACCAGTAAGCTTTTCTCCCAATCATCTTGATGTAGAGGCAGCTATGCAAGGCGCAGCCAGGTAGTCCAATGCTCAAGCCACTTAATCAACACAAATATTATCCTAACTTACAACAAAATGACTTGTTTCTTCTCTAACAATGGAACCGGAAAATGTTACTTTGAATGCGCGAGAAACTTCTTTGGTCGAGATGAAGAAACGTAAATGAAGAAATGAGTCCGGAACATCTCGACCAGGTACAGGCCGCTTTGTTTACATTAGGAGTCTGGAGTATCTCGCCGCAATTTCACTTGAAATCACCATGAACAGATCAACGGGGTAACTTATATTTGATTTTACGAAAAGGATAAATGTTAGACGCGGACGAAAGTTCTTTTGTCGAGGTGAAGAAACGCTAACGCTGAGAAATTGAGTCTGGAACATCTCGAGGAAGTCCGCTCTGGGTGTCCGCTTTGTTTATGTCCGGTCCGGACTATGTCGCCGTTCGTTTGTTTACATGGTTTACATTAGGAGCGAGTTTGACACCGATGACAGACTTTGGTTTTTGATGAAAATTTGGTCTGGAATATCTGGGCCAAACGCAAAAACCCTTACGCATGCAGGAAAGGATATTTGAACGCATTCACGGCAGGCGTAATGATACAACTATTCGACCACGGGTGTAAGCATGTTGCTTCCAGCTGGATTGAAGGCGCGCCACACTCCAACAATGACTCGGATCTCGTCCGGTGTATTACCCTGGCTGGCGAGCCGCTAAAATGTATGTGTAATGAGCTATGAAACGAGCGAAAATATTGCGTCAAAATCTCCGGCGATTGAAGAAAATCTGCGGAAATTCTTTGGAAAAACTGTATTTGCCTTTCGTGACAGGAATGATTCAAAATAAGGCATTAATTCAGGTCTGTAACGTTGCAATCGGAGCTAAATACGCTCCCTTACGCATGCAGGACAGGATATTTGAACGCATTCACGGCAGGCGTAATGATACAACTATTCGACCACGGGTGTAAGCATGTTGCTTCCAGCTGGATTGAAGGCGCGCCACACTCCAACAATGACTCTGGTCCCGTCCCGTATGAACTCCCTCGCTGGCGCGCCGCTAAAATCGCTGCAAAGGTATGACTACACGTCGTTATCCTCGACTCTCTGTCCCGTCCTACCATAATTTGAGTGAAAGAGTATACCTGAATTTTAACGATTCAGAATCTCGGATTTGGTTTAATTACATTCATTATTTTAAAATGAAATATGAAACGAGCGAAAATATTGCGTCAAAATCTCCGACGATTGAAGTAAATCCGCGGAAATTCTTTGGAAAAACTTTATTGGCCTTTCGTGACAGGAATGATTAAAAATAAGGCATTAATTCAGGTCCGTAACGTTGCAATCGGAGCTAAATACGCTCCCTTACGCATGCAGGAAAGGATATTTGAACGCATTCACGGCAGGCGTAATGATACAACTATTCGACCACAGGTGTAAGCATGTTGCTGCCAGCTGGATTGAAGGCGCGCCACACTCCAACAATGACTCGGGTTCCGTTCGGTGTATTATCCTGGCTGGCGAGCCGCTTAAATATGTGTGTAATGAGGTATGAAACGAGCGAAAATATTGCGTCATTTTGATGTTTAATTCGTCATAATTTCAATTTTAGAAGGCTCTTTTTGAAGAAAATTCCACGATAAAACCAATGGGACCACTTTTAGAACCTCGAATTTTTTTTTTTAAAACGGAATTATAAGCGTTTAAAGTTTCCAAATTTTGTCCGACCTCTCCTATAGACTCGATCCACCGTGCGACGCGTACTGCATGAGTTCCGAGTCAACCTCGAGCCTGGTCATAGTCTCTGGCGCCAGCGCCACCTCCAAGACGACACCTCCATCGCCCTCCTTTGCCGGAAACGCGGTGATCTTGCCGTCGAACTTGTTGTTGCGCCCGCTCCTGACCGCCAGAGGGCGCCCCCACCCGAAATCCGCCTCGTAGACCGGGAACCTCGGCGAGCTCCCCACGGAGATCGTCGGCCCCTCGGCGATGTCGTTCGGGATCGCCCTGGGCTCTCGTTCCCACTCCGCCACCCGTCGCCGCACCTTGGAATCGTCCCACGTCGCCACGGTTTCGTGGATCAACCTGGCGCCCCAACTCAGGTCGTTGGTGAGGAGATCATCCGCGGAGGCGGCAATCTCCGCGCCCAGGATCGCGTTGCCGAAGTAGCGTCGGTCGAGTCTCGGTTCCAACCTGGGGAGAAGTGACCTCATCAAGATCTACCCACATATAGAGTCCCTTTATACCCAGAGTTAAGACAACTCGATTATCAGCTGACTGGCAACCGGCCTTGGCTGGCCATGGAGGCCGAAACGAGTGCACCCTAACGAACGATATTGAGGGATAAGGATCAGGAATCCTCCGATGTCTATCACACAAAAACAACAACATCAACAAATTGATCAATTAAAAAGAAAATGAGATTGGTTTGTGATTAATTTCTTAATCTATCCTCATTTTGGACCGATGGAAATAACAATTTACTCTTGATAAACCACAATTAGGTAATATTTTCATTATTCTTGTTCACATTCGAGGTAGGCACCGTCATCTTGGTGCACTCGTTTCGGCCTCCATGAGCGAGAACCAATCAGAATTGGATTTTTTTTAGGCCACTTTCAGCCCAACCAAAAATGAGTTGTCTTAACTCTGGGTATAAAGGGACTCTATCCACATACTGCCGTGCTAAGGAAGAACGCCGTATGAACCGTCCGGCGTTGCCAAATCTTCTTTCATAAAACGCGAATTCCCTGGTAAATTCATGAATTTTTTCTTCCCAATTTTTCAGATAATTTAGTTTACACTTTTACCTAATAATTCTGAAAGTCTTAAGGAAAAGTATTCATAACTCTCCTGAAAAGTGAACATTTTATCGAAGGAAATTTGGCAACTCTCGAATGTTCATACGGCATTTTTCCTAAGAACGGCAGTATAGGTCAGTCATTGCGCAGATTTCCCTGTTCATTGGAGCTTGACGTCAAAATTATTGCCGCGATAACCAGAAATGTCGGAAACGATGCTTTATTTATGAGAGAATTTTAATTTTTATTGATGAATCCTTTAATTTTCTTACTTTTAAATCATACGAAACTTTCCGAATAGAACGTTTATACATTTAGCATTCAGGTTTTCGATTTTGCCGAATTGTGTTTTTTCATTTTTACAGTTGACTCTGCATCGGCCATTTTTACACGCCGAACCTATACTGCGAAATGGCTCGCACAGCGCAGACTTTAAAAATCATTTAAAAATATGAGAACGTAAATATGAGAAAATCGAAACCCTAAAAGCTAATGTCTAAACGTTCTTTTTGTCTCTCAAAAAGCTTTAAACGGTTTGATTGTAAGAAATTGAAATGATTCATCAATCAAAATTAGCCCTCTCCCATAAGAAAATCATTGATTCCCAGCTTTCCGGCTTTCGCGCCAGTAATGCTGACGTCATGCACAGAAGATTTTCATTTTGGTTCTGGGAATGGCTGGTCTATATGAGAAGATCTGTGATCTCATATCATTTCACTGTATTTGAAAGGTTACTTCAGTGATTTTTTTAGTAAGAATTCGATTCGGAACTTTCGCTTCCTTGTTTGAAAAAGTGAGCTAACACAATGGAGTTTTTGCATTTCTTAGGGATTTGCGATTTAAGTACTTTTTCTTTTGTAAATTTACGATGGTGCCACTTGTTTTCTGTGAAAAAACTATAAAGCTCAGAAGAAGCTCTCAAAGTTAAGGCCGTAATGGAGGGGATATTCCACGCTATGTTGAGAGTCAACCTCTTTATTTCGTCAAACTTTCAATTCATCGATCCCTTATCGGATCGCCTCTGAAGGTGTTGAAGAACCCCCTCAGCGCTATCCAAATACGCGGTCTGTTAGATAAGAAACCGGATTTTAGTGATAACTGGCCCATCATGCGTTCGAATCAGGTCCGAATTAAATTTCCTTGGACTTCCTTGATCGCTGAAAATATACTTAAGAACGCTACATTCACAAATAAAAAATCTTAATTAGCTTTGTTGGCACGTGGTTTGAAGTGAGGCAACCTCACGGTTGTTCTGCGATTTTCACGTTTGACCAAACTTGTCGATTGTACGATGAAAATTGCAGAACGCGCCTGACTTACTCGTATTCTACGTGACACAGAATCAACACTGATCAAAATAAACAAAATCTGTGAATCTAGCGTCCTTAAGTATGTCATCAGCTATCAGGAACGTCCAAGAGCCTAATTCGGACGCACAATGCGCTAGTTATCACCAAAATCCGATTTCTCATCTATCAGACCTTGTAAGACTAACCTGTTGCGGCAGTCCACCGACATCCGGAAGAGCGTTGTCTGTTGCCTAGCTCGTGTGATGGACCGCCACATCAGGGCGCAGAGCGATTGGAAGGACGTAATCCCACCACGGTCCTCTGTACCCCCCGATCTCGCTGAATATCCCTCGTTGGCCCTCTGTTTGAGTTTCGAGATGGCGTCCCCGCTAAAATGGAAGACTCGCTCCGTCAACGACGCGTCGCCTCCGAAAGGGTGCTTGCCGGTCGGTCCACCCGGCGGGAACGGGAGCACGGCCCGGGGGTTGAGGGGCGTGTCGCGGGAGAAGACGGGTGAGGTTGAGATTGGGGCTCCTCTGCTGATCTCGGCGAAGGTGTTGATGAAGTCCCAATGCGATAGGCCGTCCGCCACCGAGTGATTCGTGCAGAAAGCGATGAAAACACCGTCGGCTAGCTTCGTTACCTGAGAAATCGTCGCCCGATTGTTAAAAGGGCGTAACTACACACATTTTTCAGTTTTAGAGCCCCCAAACACGGAGAAAAAAACTTCGTGCGTAGGACCCGAAGTTTAGGTCATATGGATCTCTGAAGTTTCCGGATTGAGCATCTGAACACTTTAGGCCTAGCTGTCGATGCTCGGATCACACATCTGAAACTTCATTTCTTACATCTGAGGTACTTCAGATGTGAGAACCGAAGTACTTCAGATGTAAGAACTGAAGTTTCAGATGTGTGATCCAAACCTCAGCAGCTGGACCTAAAGTGTCCAGATGCTCAATCCGAAAACTTCAGAGATCCATATGACCTAGAAACTTCGGGTCCCACGCACGAAGTTTTTTTCTCCGTGAACAAATTGGCAATCCTATTGACGCATTTTCTCCTTAATTCTGCAGACTTCCCGCTGTAATAAGATTCGTTTTCTTCGCGAAAGTTTGTAGAGAAAACAGCCTAGAGGCCCATTGCGGTCAATGGTTTCGTCGAGTCTGGATAAAAAATGAACGAATTTTGAGATTTCGCGAGCAGGGTTGGCGGTAGTCAGTGAAGATGTAGAAAACCTCAAGCATCAGAGAATTTTACTAAGTCGCGAAAGTCACGGGACTTTTCAAAAAGTTAGAAGATATTGTCACTCCCTCTTCCCAACGTAGAGTATAAGAGGTTACTTAGGACGTAGGAAATAGCAGACACTTTAGCAAAAAATCAAAATGTTTCATTTACCTTGATCGCAGCCAGTGGCATGGAATGTCCCTCATAGTCACCCAACGTGTCGTAAGTGAAGAAGTTCTTGATGGAATCAGGAACATCGCCCGGACACAAAATGTCGTCCACAGAGAGACCCGCGTTGTCCACCGCGAGAAATTCAACCCCTGCATCGTTGCAAGCTATGTGGACTTCACCATCGGGGGTCGTAGTGAGGCGACCGGCCAGGGGGTAGAAGTGTTTCAGGGTAGTGGCGAGGGCTTTTTTGAGTGAGGTAAGGAGACTGTCAAAGGAGAGACCAGGTGGATAAGGTAACAGAATTCCCTTTTGGTTGTATTCACACGCCAACCATGATATGTCTGAAACTGAGAGCTTCAGACTTTTGATATTGGACTTTTGGGTCGGAAAAACCATGCATTTCGAGATGAGAATGGGAGACGTAGTAGGCGTAGGCATGGTGCTATGCGATCTACTGGTTTTTTTCATCAAAATTCTATCTACAGTTGAGAATATTTGGACGTTGTGAAATTGTTTCATGTCGTCTAAATCTGAGGTGTTTTGCTCTAGTTGATTCTTCAAGATATATACTGACAATCACACTTAAATAGTTTCATTTCAAATTTCATGAGGTATTAAACTCGATTTAAATTAAATATCAATATTGCAATGGAATAATGAAAAATTGGTTGTTTTGGTATTTTTAATATGATTACATATATTCGTAATAATAGTCATAAATTTTAGTATGATTGATGATTTTATAAAATCATTTCCGTGTGTTCGAATTACATTATGTCCTACTTTAATAGTTTCATTTGAAATTGCATAAGGTATTAAACGTTCCCTTGCGCCTCGGTAAAATTTTATCTTTTCATATGAAAGAATACTTTCCGTGCTGCGAGAGATTTGATTAGAGTATTGTGGAATGAGCAACTGAATTCGAATTTCCCTCTTCATTAAGTGATGAGCAGAATAATGAGAATGACCATTGACTAAACCACAACAAAAATATGAAAAGCACATTCAAAAATACGCAATTGTTTTCCAATACCGGAAACAATGCGCACAATGGGCGATTATTTCAAGGCAACTTTTCCGACCTTGTCATTCAGACTAAACTTATTTTCCTCCCACTCGAAACGGTTTAATCTTTTCCTATTACTCGCGGAGCAGTGGCGACGCGTGAATGATCGATTATTGATATTTCCCCAGTTGAAGCTATATGGTAAAGAATCGAGTATTAAGGTGTTCGTTGCGAGCGTTCTGTTCATCGATCCAGTTCTATAGATTTAAATTGCAGATCAATTTATATTTCGCCACGCACACCACGCCACTGTCGCGGAACTTTACTAAGTCACTCCGTAATATTTAGCAACATCGTATACAGCTCAGGGTGTCTACCGTCAGGAGAAACCGGAAAATATCAGGAAATTCGATGGCATGAGATAAAATAGGGAAATTCCAGGAATATCGGTCATTGGTCAGAAAATTTCGAGTACTCCTCGCATTTTTCAAACATTCGATGCAATTTTTAATTATTCTGTTTCGTTGAATCTAACGTGTGCCAAATATCAGGGAAATCGAAAATAAAATTTTAAGAGACTCTCTGATCAATTTGAATCACCCGCTCTCTGTTTTTTTTTTTGTACCTCTGTATCCAACTGCTGTATGATATTGAAATGTACTGAAATGGCTTCAATATCTCTGTCATTGTTGGTTTCCTTGTGAAAAAATAAAACTCGAATTGAGATTTGCAACGTCGGAATCGAAGTTGCGCAAGTGTCAACTTTAGCCATCGACATGCTGAACGCACCCATATTCGGGTACCGAAGAGAAAAGTCAGAAACTTGAAATCCTCCGCAAACTGTAGCTGCAGAAGAAATCTGCATCGCAGTGGCGCGCCTTCATTTCAGTGTGATACCACTTGCATTGCCGCGAGGTTGATTTAGTTGCGTGACCCAATCCAACCTAACTCCAGTGGCAGCTTCACGCCTTTGCGACGAATCTGAGAGGGAATGGCATCATTATTTAAATTAAACCATTATCAAAAGTAAACAAACATCTAGATATGGAACATATTCTACCAAACCAACGATTTTTTCCCCGATTTTCAATTAACAGAGACAATTTCACTTCTGAAAGAATATAGCCACCCAACAGCTGACCGATATCTAATGTTAAAAAATTCGTATCTCCATTGCAATGTCTACAAATCTTAACTTACATTTTTTTAGACGAGATCAACCAAAACATGTCTTTGATCGAGATGTGTTCGCGATCCTTAAAGTAGTGAAAAATCATAGTGATTTTTAAGTTGTAAGCAGCAGTTGATGTCATTTTCAAAGGTCCCTCTTTTTTTCTTCAGTTTTCGCTTAAAGAATCTGGCGCATTCAAGACTCCAATAAAAAAAAAAAAAGGTTTACAAAATAGCTGAAATGATGACCGAGGATACAGTATTGAGAAGGGTTTTTTTAAAATTGCAGAGCAATACAGTTCTCGCGATGACGACACTTACATGATGCTTACTTAATGCTTCAACCCTTCATGCCCCCTCCCTCAGGCACCTATCTGATGCACTTCACTGAGAGTTTTAATTATGGATGAGAAAGGGTTTAAAGTAAGGCTGAGTTCGGAACACTAAAAACTTAAATTTATTTTTCCTGTAGTGCCCGTTATTCCGTCACCACAAACGACTTTCACCATGGAGAATAAAAGAGGGTGGTCATATTCCGGGCATCTCGGATTTCATCGATGGCGTAGGTAGGCACAGACGCTTTCTGTCATCGATTTTCCTGGAAATAGTGTATTTTTTGGAAACAAGTAATAATCCTTGGATAGTTTTTACAATATTTTGAGTTGAGCCAGGCGAAGAAAACGGACGTTATGGTTTGTTTTTCATATTTTGAATTTTAGATTTTGCTAGAATGTCGACGCCGTATTGTGTCTAAAGTATCTGTACATATTATAAGGAGAGTAGGGGCGTGTTCGAAATCGAGATTTCTTCAAAATTCGTCTAGTCTCTTTCCGACGAAATCACTGAAATAGCTAAAACTGCAAAATTCAGCCTAACTGTATCAAAACGAGACATTTGAGAAAACCGCAAGTGCGCAAAAATGACGCACTTTCAGGCAAGACAGCAGTAAGTGCAGCAGGCAACATTCCTCGAGAGAGGCAATGCAAACAGTGCTTTCAAAAAAAGTTCCGCCCTCTTCTGCCAATTTCTAACCTGAAAATGTGTTAGTTGTGTGTCCAAAACGTAACCACGAAAGCATGCAGAAGATAGCACTTACGGCTGTCTTGCCCGACAATAAGCTAGCATGATAATGAAAAATGCCTTTTTATACAATTGAAATAAAATTCGTCGATTTTTAATAATTCAAATTACTTCGAGGAGTCTTTCGGACGATTAGTGACCATTTGACAAGAAACGGAGGCTTCTTTGCATAAAATTTTCCGGCCAGACGCTTCTGAGCCCGTTTTTTCAAAACTTCATTTCTGCCCTTACTGCTCTCTTCGCTACCACGGCAGCGGACTGATTATTGAAATTGATAGACAAAGCTATAGACAAAGGAGATAGAAGAGATATGGAGAGATCCTATTGGTAGAAGCGGGTGGTTGCGATGGACAAAAGACGTAGGTAATGGACTAACCACGAGAAACCCTATAGTTAGTCCATCATTTACCCCCTTTGTCTATATGAACCACCCATTTCAACCAATGGGATCACTCTATACTCCTTATGTCTTCTTTGTTTATAGCTTTGTCTATAAATTTCAATAATCGGCCCGCAGATGGGGTAAACAAGTCCTCAAAACTCGACCACAACCTCTTTCTTCTCTATGGACACGTACTGCATGAACTCATCATCCGCCTCGAGCCTCGTCATAGTCTCAGACGCCAGAGTCACCTCCAAGACGACACCTCCGTCGCCCTCCCGAGCGGGGTTGACCATGACCTTGCCATCGAACTTATTGTTGCGCCCGCTCCTGACCGCCAGAGGGCGCCCCCACCCGAAATCCGCCTCGTAGATCGGGAACCTCGGCGAGCTCCCTATCGAGATCGTCGGTCCCTCGGCGATGCCGTACAAGCTCATCCTGGGCTCCCGCTCCCACGCGGCTATCTCGCGGCGCACCGTGGAATCGTCCCAGGTCGCCACGGTCTCGTGGATCAACCCGGCGCCCCAACCCAGGTCCCGGGTCAAAAGCTCATCGGCGGAGGCGGAAACCGCCGCTCCCAAGATTACGTTGCCGAAGTAATACGGGTCCAGTCTCGGGTTCAGCCTGAAGAGAATAAAGGCAAAGTAACATAGTTGTAAAGATAAGAAAGATGAAAATGTATACCGAAACACGCATATTGTTGAATAAAGTTTAATGGCTTGGATTCATTTCGGGCTTAGCCCATCTTCAGCAAGCACTAAAAACAAAACACAGAAACAAGTTGAAATTACGGTAAAAAATTGTCACAATGCATGATGGAGAAGAGTATCGAGAGGCAAAGCGAAGTAAAAACACTTGGGAACTGGTCAAAAATGAAAAAAAATGTTAAAAAACCAGTGGAAATAACTGATAGAGTTAGCAGAAAAAATATTTTTTAACATGTTTTAACAATTTTTTCATTTTTGACCAGTTCCCAAGTGTTTTTACTTCGCTTTGCCTCTCGATACTCTTCTCCATCATGCATTTTGACATTTTTTACTGTAATTTCAACTTGTTTCTGTGTTTTGTTTTAAAAGCTTACTGAAGATGGGCTAAGCCCGAAATTCATCCAAGCCATTAAACTTTATTCAACAATATGCGTGTTTCGGTATACTTTTTCATCTTTATTATCTTTATCATAACAGCACGCGAGATGCGTTTTTCCAGTAACATAGTTGTATTAGATCATGGTGTCTAGTTTTTTAAAAACCGGGGAAAACCGGGATTCATCAGGGAATGAAAATTTACCGGGAAAGTCCGGGAATCTGTTCCGGAAATCGGAAATCTCTTCTCCGACCACCCAGGGATCATTTCGGAACACTCAGGAACATTTCTTGAATTAAAATTTTGAATGTGCGCCGAAAAAATGGCTGAAGGATTAATTAGAATCGATATTCATAGCTGAAACTCTGGAAAATAATATTCTTTTCCCCAAGAATATCCCGGGAAAGTGGAAGAAAACTTTGGTTTCTCATCAGGGAATGAGCTCCTGAAAATCAGGGAATCAGCTTTACCAAGAAAACTAGACACCATGTAAAAGATAAGTTAATGCTAATCACCCAAACAGCATGTTAATCAGCGGCGTGGCGTGCTTTGCGATATATCGACTGTTATGCCATTTAAACCTATGGAAAAGGATCGATACACAGGGTGTTCGCACCGAAGACCTTAATAATCGATTCTTTACCATAGCTTCAAATGGATATATATCGATAATCGATCGTTCACACCTCGCAATCGATGTTGATAGGATGACGGAAGAGAGGCTGCCGAAAAAAATGCTTGAGTGTGTTCCTCCTGGGAGGAGACGAAGTATGTTTCCCTCGAGTTCTCATTTCTGGCGCTTTCGTCTTTTCGAGAATGACCGATTCAATTCAGCAGACATGCATTCAGCAAGCTACGTAATCGAGAATTTTGTGCTTCCCTGATTTCGTCGAGTAACCTGCGGGCTGATTGTTGGAATTGATAGACAAAGGAGACGTAGGGAGTATGGAGCAATCCAATCGGTTGAAACGGGTGGTTCTTATAAACTTAGGTGATAAATGATGGAATTACTATAGGGTCTCTCATAGGTTGCCGTTAGCTAGTTTCTTTTCCGCCTCCTCCGTCTATCAATTGGACGTATTTATGCTAAATGGAGCCATGTGAAAGTGGAAAGATGTGTTGTGCTAGTTAGTTAAGGGCCATGAGAATGAATGGGGATTTTAAAGCGCCAGTGACGTCAGCGGCAACGAAGCCATCCCCGTCGTCGTTCTCGCTCGTCCTCAACTCATGAGCCCTGTCCACAACGCTTTTGTCACATGCCCACGGCTCACGAGTTAGCGCTTGGTTCCTTTTGATTTAATGTCAAATCCCGCTTTTCAATTTTCTCAAAAGGAACTATATCGACGGTGAAACTACCAAACCACGTATCTCGGTTTGCGACGTCGCATGTCATACTTTATTTTTTAAATGAAAAACTACTTAACATCCAGTCTTGAAAAGAGGTTGTTCCATCCCCCATTAGATTTGGCCCCCTATCAGATATGATCCATCTTTTCAGGAGTGATACAGTAGCATGCGAGACGTTCAAATATGGCGGTCATTTTGACTTAGGCCCCTCCAGAGAGGGGGGGCGGGGGGTCAAAGTCAAAACCTTCAACTGCCTATAACTTTTGAGCGAAAAATCGGATTGAGTTGAACTTTTTTTTAAATGAAAGATCTCAAAAAGATCTATCTGCTGATACCAGAAAAATTGAAAAAAAAAATAAATTTAATGCTAATTTTTAGCAATTTTTCAATTTTTTAGGGGACAAAATTTTCAATTTTGTCGTGTTTCGGCACCGCGCAATGACTCTACTAAAACAAAAACCAGTTTTTTAGATTCTCCACTTAATTTCCTACAAGATGCAAAAAACCGCATCTTGGGGAAACGTTTAGATCGCGAGCTATGGCTCGTCAAAGTTAGCCCCGCGCTGAGCGCGCGCGCCCTGCGCTGTTCGCATATCCTCTGCGCGTCTGCCACCGATCCTGTTGCCCCTCCT